ATAAGTCAAGTATTTAAATTAGTTCAATAAGATTTCAGTTGTCATTTTTTTAAGTGCACCATGGGTGAAATACAAAGACGTTTGATTGTATGGATCATTCAGAACGCTTAATTATGCTTATATAAAATCTGTACATAGACCAAGAGGCATTTTTTTGAACAGAACTGCACAGTTAAAAACCAGGAAAGGTGTGCCTCAGAGTTGTATCCTCTTACCATTATTCATTCTGTTTGCTGAACAAATAATCTGAGAAGCGGGACTATATGAAGAAGAACACAACATCAGGATTGGAGGAAGACTCATTAGCAACCTGCAATATGCAGATGACACAACCTTGCTTGTTGAAAGTAAAGAGAATTTGAAGCACTTACTAATGAGGATTAAAGACTACATACAGCCTTCAGTATGGATTACACTTCAACATAAAGAAAACAAAAATCCTCACAACTGGGCCAATAAGCAATATCGTACTAAATGAAGAAAAGATTGAAGTTGTCAAGGATTTTATTTTACTTTAATCCACAATCAACCCCCATGGAAATAGCAGTCAGATCAAACAACATATGCATTGGGCAGTTCTGCTGCCAAAGACCTCTTGAAAATGTTGAAAAGCAAAAATGTCACTTGGAAGATTAAGGTGTGCCTGACCCAAGCCATGATATTGTCAGTTGCCTTATATGCATGCAAAATCTGGACAATGAATAGTTAAGACCAAAGAAGAATTGATGCTTTTGAATTATGGTGTTGGTGAAGAGTACTGAATATACCACGGACTGCCAGAAGAATAAACAGATGTCTTGGAAGAAGTGCAGCCAGAATGCTCCTTAGAAGTGAGGATGGCAAGACTTTGTCTCATGTCCTTTGGACATGTTATCAGGAAGGACCAGTCCCTGGAGAAGGACATTATGCTTAGAAAGTAGCGTTTCAGTGAAAAAGAGGAGCCTTCAAGGAGATACACATAATGGCTCCAACACTGGGCTCAAGAATAGCAAGGATTGTGAGGATGCCTCAGGACTGGGCAGTGTTTCATTCTGTTGTGCATTATGAGTTGAAACTAACTTGACAGCATGTAACAACTACCTGACTGAAAACCAGATTGAAGTATCTATTTAAATAAAAATCATCTCGTTAGGGAAAAACTGCTAAGTGGTTAAAAAAAAAAAAAAAAATCTGCAGTTAGGTTAGAGCAGGTGAACTGGTGTATGTTTGGCTGAGCAAATCTGAATCTGAACAATTACTCCACAAAAGAAGAGTTAGAAAAGAGCTTTCTCTTTGAGGATAGAAATGGGTTGTTAAATTAATAGCTTTAGCATATTGTTGGATTCTGTCCTTTCAGGTTTTGGTGACATTTTCTCAAGTAGTGAACTTTAGAAATGTTTTTTAACTTTTCATTTTAAACTAATTTTGTAATTACAGAAAAATGACAAAAGCAATACAAAGAGTCCCCTTATATTCCTCACCCAACTTCCTGTAATGTTATCATCTTACATAACTCTAATACAGTTACTGAAACTAGAAAATTAACATTAATATTAATTGATACAATACTATAAATTATAAACGTTACTTGAATTTCATTTTTCTATGTCCCTTTTCTGTTCCAGAATCCTACTACTCAGGATCCCATATCGCATTTAGTTGTTTTTTCTACTTTTTGTTACTGTTTTTAGCTGTTGTTGAGTTGGCCTTCAGTTTGTGGGAACCCCATACACCATAGAACAAAATGCTCCCGAGTGCTGTGCCATCCCCATGATTGGTTGTGGTTCAAAGCATTGTAACTCATAAGGTTTTTATAGGCTTATTTTCAGAAGTAGATCTTCCAGCCTTTGTTCCGAGTCTGTCTTAGTCTTAGCTCCACTGAAATCTGGTCATCGTCCTTTCAACATGCAGGCCCCACCGACAGACAGATGGAAGCTGCGCTTGAAGTGCATTGGCTGTGAACTGAACCTAAGTCTACTATGTGGAAGGAGATAATTGTTCCACTGAGCCACCACTGCCTCCTGTATTGCTACTTAGTTTTTCTATTCTGTTATAGTTCTTCAGTCTTGCTTTCTCTTTCATTATTGCATCATTTTAAAGAACTTTGTGGCATAGTGCCTGAGGCATTTGACTGCTAACCAGAAGGTTGGCGGTTCAAACCTACCAGTGACTTCATGGAAGGAAGACTGGGCAATCTACTTCCATAAAGATTTACCACCTTGGAAACCCAAAGAGGGTTGCTATGAGTTGGAATTGACTTGACAGCAATGAGTTTGGTTTTTTTTGTTTTTCAACCTGTTAGGGGGTCAGCAAAAAAGAGGAAGACCCTCAGTGAGATGGATTGACACAGTGGCTGCAACAATGAGTGTGAGGATGGTGCAGGACCAGGCAGTATTGCATTCTGTTGTAGATGGAGTTGCTGTGAGTCAGCCGACTGGGCAGCACCTAACAACAGTAACCATCTCTTATTTTGTAGGATGTCCCTCAGTTTGGGTTTATTTGATGTTTTCTCATGATTACATTGAGATGATACATTTTTGGCAAGGAGACCACAGAAATGATTTTCTATTCTTCAAAGTGCATCTTATCGGGGATAAAATTATAAATCATAGGGTAACTTCAAAGAAAAATGATAAACTTCCACATCACAATAAAAAAGAGGACAAGCACAAATATTCAGCATATACTAAAACAACAGCAACAAAGGAAATGATAACACGAGGACATTATGCT